GCTGCACGGTCTATTGCTGCACGGTCTATTGCTGCACGGTCTATTGCTGCACGGTCTATTGCTGCACGGTCTATTGCTGCACGGTCTATTGCTGCACGGTCTATTGCTGCATGGTCTATTGCTGCATGGTCTATTGCTGCAAGGTCTATTGCTGCATGGTCTATTGCTGCATGGTCTATTGCTGCAAGGTCTATTGCTGCAAGGTCTATTGCTGCATGGTCTATTGCTGCAAGGTCTATTGCTGCAAGGTCTATTGCTGCATGGTCTATTGCTGCAAGGTCTATTGCTGCAAGGTCTATTGCTGCATGGTCTATTGCTGCATGGTCTATTGCTGCAAGGTCTATTGCTGCATGGTCTATTGCTGCAAGGTCTATTGCTGCATGGTCTATTGCTGCAAGGTCTATCGCTGCACGGTCTATTGGTCTATTGCTGCATGGTCTATTGCTGCAAGGTCTATTGCTGCAAGGTCTATTGCTGCATGGTCTATTGCTGCATGGTCTATTGCTGCAAGGTCTATTGCTGCAAGGTCTATTGCTGCATGGTCTATTGCTGCAAGGTCTATTGCTGCAAGGTCTATTGCTGCATGGTCTATTGCTGCAAGGTCTATTGCTGCAAGGTCTATTGCTGCATGGTCTATTGCTGCATGGTCTATTGCTGCAAGGTCTATTGCTGCATGGTCTATTGCTGCAAGGTCTATTGCTGCATGGTCTATTGCTGCAAGGTCTATCGCTGCACGGTCTATTGGTCTATTGCTGCATGGTCTATTGCTGCAAGGTCTATTGCTGCATGGTCTATTGCTGCAAGGTCTATTGCTGCAAGGTCTATTGCTGCAAGGTCTATTGCTGCATGGTCTATTGCTGCAAGGTCTATTGCTGCAAGGTCTATTGCTGCATGGTCTATTGCTGCATGGTCTATTGCTGCATGGTCTATTGCTGCAAGGTCTATTGCTGCAAGGTCTATTGCTGCATGGTCTATTGCTGCATGGTCTATTGCTGCAAGGTCTATTGCTGCATGGTCTATTGCTGCAAGGTCTATTGCTGCAAGGTCTATTGCTGCATGGTCTATTGCTGCAAGGTCTATTGCTGCAAGGTCTATTGCTGCATGGTCTATTGCTGCAAGGTCTATTGCTGCAAGGTCTATTGCTGCATGGTCTATTGCTGCATGGTCTATTGCTGCAAGGTCTATTGCTGCAAGGTCTATTGCTGCATGGTCTATTGCTGCAAGGTCTATTGCTGCAAGGTCTATTGCTGCATGGTCTATTGCTGCAAGGTCTATTGCTGCAAGGTCTATTGCTGCATGGTCTATTGCTGCATGGTCTATTGCTGCAAGGTCTATTGCTGCATGGTCTATTGCTGCAAGGTCTATTGCTGCATGGTCTATTGCTGCAAGGTCTATCGCTGCACGGTCTATTGGTCTATTGCTGCATGGTCTATTGCTGCAAGGTCTATTGCTGCATGGTCTATTGCTGCAAGGTCTATTGCTGCAAGGTCTATTGCTGCAAGGTCTATTGCTGCATGGTCTATTGCTGCAAGGTCTATTGCTGCAAGGTCTATTGCTGCATGGTCTATTGCTGCATGGTCTATTGCTGCAAGGTCTATTGCTGCATGGTCTATTGCTGCAAGGTCTATTGCTGCATGGTCTATTGCTGCAAGGTCTATCACTGCACGGTCTATTGGTCTATTGCTGCATGGTCTATTGCTGCAAGGTCTATTGCTGCAAGGTCTATTGCTGCAAGGTCTATTGCTGCAAGGTCTATTGCTGCAAGGTCTATTGCTGCATGGTCTATTGCTGCATGGTCTATTGCTGCAAGGTCTATTGCTGCATGGTCTATTGCTGCAAGGTCTATTGCTGCAAGGTCTATTGCTGCAAGGTCTATTGCTGCATGGTCTATTGCTGCATGGTCTATTGCTGCAAGGTCTATTGCTGCATGGTCTATTGCTGCAAGGTCTATTGCTGCATGGTCTATTGCTGCAAGGTCTATTGCTGCAAGGTCTATTGCTGCAAGGTCTATTGCTGCATGGTCTATTGCTGCATGGTCTATTGCTGCAAGGTCTATTGCTGCATGGTCTATTGCTGCATGGTCTATTGCTGCAAGGTCTATTGCTGCATGGTCTATTGCTGCAAGGTCTATTGCTGCATGGTCTATTGCTGCAAGGTCTATTGCTGCATGGTCTATCGCTGCACGGTCTATTGGTCTATTGCTGCATGGTCTATTGCTGCAAGGTCTATTGCTGCATGGTCTATTGCTGCAAGGTCTATTGCTGCAAGGTCTATTGCTGCAAGGTCTATTGCTGCATGGTCTATTGCTGCAAGGTCTATTGCTGCAAGGTCTATTGCTGCATGGTCTATTGCTGCATGGTCTATTGCTGCAAGGTCTATTGCTGCATGGTCTATTGCTGCAAGGTCTATTGCTGCATGGTCTATTGCTGCAAGGTCTATCACTGCACGGTCTATTGGTCTATTGCTGCATGGTCTATTGCTGCAAGGTCTATTGCTGCATGGTCTATTGCTGCAAGGTCTATTGCTGCAAGGTCTATTGCTGCAAGGTCTATTGCTGCATGGTCTATTGCTGCATGGTCTATTGCTGCAAGGTCTATTGCTGCATGGTCTATTGCTGCAAGGTCTATTGCTGCAAGGTCTATTGCTGCATGGTCTATTGCTGCAAGGTCTATTGCTGCAAGGTCTATTGCTGCATGGTCTATTGCTGCATGGTCTATTGCTGCAAGGTCTATTGCTGCATGGTCTATTGCTGCAAGGTCTATTGCTGCATGGTCTATTGCTGCAAGGTCTATTGCTGCACGGTCTATTGGTCTATTGCTGCATGGTCTATTGCTGCAAGGTCTATTGCTGCAAGGTCTATTGCTGCAAGGTCTATTGCTGCATGGTCTATTGCTGCATGGTCTATTGCTGCAAGGTCTATTGCTGCAAGGTCTATTGCTGCAAGGTCTATTGCTGCAAGGTCTATTGCTGCATGGTCTATTGCTGCAAGGTCTATTGCTGCAAGGTCTATTGCTGCATGGTCTATTGCTGCAAGGTCTATTGCTGCAAGGTCTATTGCTGCATGGTCTATTGCTGCATGGTCTATTGCTGCAAGGTCTATTGCTGCATGGTCTATTGCTGCAAGGTCTATTGCTGCAAGGTCTATTGCTGCATGGTCTATTGCTGCAAGGTCTATTGCTGCAAGGTCTATTGCTGCATGGTCTATTGCTGCAAGGTCTATTGCTGCAAGGTCTATTGCTGCATGGTCTATTGCTGCAAGGTCTATTGCTGCAAGGTCTATTGCTGCATGGTCTATTGCTGCATGGTCTATTGCTGCAAGGTCTATTGCTGCATGGTCTATTGCTGCAAGGTCTATTGCTGCAAGGTCTATTGCTGCATGGTCTATTGCTGCAAGGTCTATTGCTGCAAGGTCTATTGCTGCATGGTCTATTGCTGCATGGTCTATTGCTGCATGGTCTATTGCTGCATGGTCTATTGCTGCAAGGTCTATTGCTGCAAGGTCTATTGCTGCATGGTCTATTGCTGCAAGGTCTATTGCTGCAAGGTCTATTGCTGCATGGTCTATTGCTGCAAGGTCTATTGCTGCAAGGTCTATTGCTGCATGGTCTATTGCTGCAAGGTCTATTGCTGCAAGGTCTATTGCTGCATGGTCTATTGCTGCATGGTCTATTGCTGCAAGGTCTATTGCTGCATGGTCTATTGCTGCAAGGTCTATTGCTGCATGGTCTATTGCTGCAAGGTCTATCGCTGCACGGTCTATTGGTCTATTGCTGCATGGTCTATTGCTGCAAGGTCTATTGCTGCATGGTCTATTGCTGCATGGTCTATTGCTGCAAGGTCTATTGCTGCATGGTCTATTGCTGCAAGGTCTATTGCTGCATGGTCTATTGCTGCATGGTCTATTGCTGCATGGTCTATTGCTGCATGGTCTATTGCTGCATGGTCTATTGCTGCATGGTCTATTGCTGCAAGGTCTATTGCTGCATGGTCTATTGCTGCAAGGTCTATTGCTGTAAGGTCTATTGCTGCAAGGTCGGTTGCTGCATGGTCTCTTGCTGCACGGTCTATTGCTGCACGGTCTATTGCTGCACGGTCTATTGCTGCACGGTCTATTGCTGCACGGTCTATTGCTGCACGGTCTATTGCTGCACGGTCTATTGCTGCACGGTCTATTGCTGCACGGTCTATTGCTGCAAGGTCTATTGCTGCATGGTCTATTGCTGCATGGTCTATTGCTGCACGGTCTATTGCTGCACGGTCTATTGCTGCACGGTCTATTGCTGCACGGTCTATTGCTGCACGGTCTATTGCTGCACGGTCTATTGCTGCAAGGTCTATTGCTGCAAGGTCTATTGCTGCAAGGTCTATTGCTGCATGGTCTATTGCTGCATGGTCTATTGCTGCACGGTCTATTGCTGCACGGTCTATTGCTGCACGGTCTATTGCTGCACGGTCTATTGCTGCACGGTCTATTGCTGCACGGTCTATTGCTGCACGGTCTATTGCTGCACGGTCTATTGCTGCACGGTCTATTGCTGCACGGTCTATTGCTGCACGGTCTATTGCTGCACGGTCTATTGCTGCACGGTCTATTGCTGCACGGTCTATTGCTGCACGGTCTATTGCTGCACGGTCTATTGCTGCATGGTCTATTGCTGCAAGGTCTATTGCTGCAAGGTCTATTGCTGCATGGTCTATTGCTGCATGGTCTATTGCTGCATGGTCTATTGCTGCATGGTCTATTGCTGCACGGTCTATTGTTGCACGGTCAATTGCTGCACGGTCTATGCTGGGTTAGAATTGGCGATGTTGGGAGAGGGAGGACAGTGGATAGGATCTGGTCAGTTGAGAAAGATTATGAGGTCAAGTGAATCACAAAAAGCAAGCAGTGACATGGCAACTCGTGTGTAATGGAATCGAAAGGGGAAACTGGGAGAAGCGTAGGTGGAATGAAGTGAAGTGGAGTGGTAGTAGAGGCAGAGGGAATGGGCGAGTCTCACGTTGAGACGGTGTCAAGAGGGCAAGGGGAGCACTCAGACGCGCCCTCCCCACTGCAACACAAAACAATGACAGAGAGGGAGGGAGAGGCGAACAGGAGCACAGGGGGGCAAGATGGGGAACAGAAGGGAGAGGGGGAACGTGGGATGGGAGGGAAAAAGAGGGAAGAGAGGGGCAGGCAGTCAGGGAGCATGGGAGGAAGAAGGGTTTCGGATTATGGAGTTTGAACCTAGAACGACAGGCACGGGCATGCGAGCCTTCAGGCCTCCACCTCCCATCTCATGGTGCCACACAAACGAATGGAGCGACTCCACCACACTAACTTTCTAAGCAACAAGTAGGAGTATCAGGATAAACAGCGAATTCAAATGGAAAGCACAAGGCAAAGAGTGGGGGGTAGAAATCAGGAGAGGATGCGGGGATGGGAGGGGTTTGTAGGGTGTACGCGAATGGTTATGGCAGGGGTTGGGATGGCATGCGGGAATGGCTATGGCAAGGGTGAGGAGGGAACCTGAAGTAGCCGGCAGGGCAGTGCAGGCACGTGTGGTCGTTGAAGTCTGTACCATCCACCTCTATAAACTGATGCACAACACACAAAGGCATACAGGCATGCAGGTGGAGGGGAGAGGGTAAGGTGAGAGGGGTGGAGCTCTTTGGATTGACTTAAGAATCGTTGAAATCTGTGGCGTTCACCTCAATGAACGGACGCACACACAGGCATACAGGGGATAGGGAGGGAGGGGTGGCGAGAACAGGAGGTTGGAGGACGGAAGTGCAAGAGAGGAAAGGACGCAGGAAGAGAAAGGAGGCAATGGGAGGGTGCAGCATTGGCAGGAAGGAGGGAGGAATTGGGAGGGAGAGCGGAGCAAGGAGAGAGGGCACGAACAGTGATGGTGGCGGTGTCTTGCCCTTGCGTCCACTTCTCGTCCTTGTTGTAGGTCCATGTGAGCGTGTGGAATCCACGGCTCAGATTGAAGCGCACTTGCATCGGGGTGAACTGCTCCCGGCACACAACACAAGCAGGAAGGAACGCCACGGACGGGGGTGGAGGAGGGGAGAGTGCGGGGAGGAATGGAGTAGGAGGAAAAGGAGGGAGGAGAAGGGGGTGGGGGGAAGTCAACAGGCGGGGAAGTGGAGGGGTGCGGGACAGGTGGCGCTAAGTAGCTCTGCCAACAAAAGCGTCACAAGAATATCAGTACTGGTTCCTATTGATCAGCAGATGCAGCAGATGCAGCAGAAGCATAACCACCATGCAATATATTGGGGTTGGAACAGTTGGATGCAATGGGCATGGCATGGTGCTGTTGAGGCGGTTCAAGAGGCAGGTGCCAGTCACCTGGCCGCTGGCAGGCGCACATGGTACCTGGCTGGCAGGCGCACATGGTACCTGGCTGGCAGGTGCACATGGTACCTGGCTGGCAGGTGCACATGGTACCTGGCTGGCAGGTGCACATGGTACCTGGCTGGCAGGTGCACATGGTACCTGGCTGGCAGGTGCACATGGTACCTGGCTGGCAGGCGCACATGGTACCTGGCTGGCAGGTGCACATGGTACCTGGCTGGCAGGTGCACATGGTACCTGGCTGGCAGGTGCACATGGTACCTGGCTGGCAGGTGCACATGGTACCTGGCTGGCAGGTGCACATGGTACCTGGCTGGCAGGTGCACATGGTACCTGGCTGGCAGGTGCACATGGTACCTGGCTGGCAGGTGCACATGGTACGTACCTGGTCGGAGACGATGGGCATGGTGGGGCGCTCAGACACATCGATGAAGAAGGAGAGCCCGTCGTAGCCTGCCTCTGCACTCGCCGTGTAGTTGAACTTCACGTACCTGCATGCACCCAAGGGGGTTGGGGGAATGGGGGGACGGGGGGACGGGAGCAAGGTGTGGGATTGGGGTGATGAGGGATGCGAGAGAAGGGAATATGCGATAAGGGACAAGGGAAGAGAGTAAGGCTGGCTCAAGGGAACTGTCATGGGTGTAATTGGGATGAGGGAGATTGTACGGGGGGGGGGGGAGGGGGGTGATGTTGAGGGGTGAGGATGAGAGGATGTCGTTTCTGCCAAACAAGATGCAAGGAGGGATAATAGCAGCATCGGCCCAGAAACCAGCAGTGGCACAATGCGATGAATCATGACACTCAAAACAAGCTGCACGAGCGCACAGCAGCACAACGAATTGCATTCCCACAGCACTCATGGCACACACGCACACTCATGGCACACAGGCCCCCGCATGGTGTAACACACGCAAGCACGCACGCACGCACGCACCCGTCGCGGACGAGCTTGACAGGCATGGAGAGCGTGGCCTTGAGGTTGTTGTGGCAGTTCTCATCGGGGTCTGCTGCACACTCGTCCTGGTACAGGTCGTTGGGCTCGTCGTATGGGCCCGCCCTCAACACCCCCGCGTCCACCCGCCAGCTGCATGGGGTTCGAGGGTGGTGGATAGGGGATGTGGAAAGGGGTGGCGGAGGACAGAGGAGCGGGGATATGGAGGGAAGAGGAGACGGGAAGAGAATATAGTCAAGCTCACAGAAGTATTTTGAGATGGGCACATGAAAAGGGAAGGAGAGAAGGATGGGGCTGCCAGGTGGGGAGTGAGCAAACAGGAAGAAAAATGAGAAGGGGGGAGGGTCAGGATGGTTGTGGCACAGGCAGTACCTTTGGCAGGGATGCTTTCCTGTGACATTCATGTATTCACATGTTGCCTGCACACGCACACGTACACGCGTATGCACACACACAAACACACATACATGCACACACGCATGCACACATGAACACATGCACAGACATAAAGACAGGAAGAAATGCACACACGACGAAACGCTTGGATGCTAAGGCGTCAACGCTAGCAGCACCGGGTTTTGACGAGACATGGAAACTGAGAGAAGCACGGACGGTGCGTATGGTGGGTACGGTGGGTGTGGTGAGTGTGGTGGGAGAATGGTGTGGTACGGCTAGAGGGAGTTACAGTGAACAAGTTGGTATCCAGCTCCTCAAATCGCTCCAGTCGCAGCCCACCGCCCATGCTGTACGTGCCTGATGGGCGCACGTGCATGGGAGATGGGCAGCAGGAGGGGAACAGACGCCGGGGACAAAGGAGGGGATGGGAAGGGCTTGCATGCATGTGGGGAGACAAAGCAAGGTGAGCTGACACTATGCACACTCACACTGACTATAAGTTGGCGGTTCAATCACCAACAACTCCTACTTGCTAGCTGCTAGTGGGAGCGAGGAGTGGGGGAAGGAGTGGGAGGGGAGAGTGGGACGGAAGGAAGCAACGTGCGGGACGGGAGGGAAGCATGGGTGGGAGGAGGTGGGAGGCTGAGAGGCAGCAAGAGAATGCACGCACCTGGTTTGCACTTGCGGCAAGTGTCTCGTTCAAGAAACGACCCTGGCCCACAGTTTAGGTCTGCCACCATGGGTGGGTGGGTGGGAGGAAGAGACGCAGCAGTCATACCCACACCGGTCAAGACGTTTAGAGCAGGCGAGGAAGCAAAGTGAAGAGAGGAAAAGGAAACGCTTGTGTAATTATGTTCCATTCCAACCCAATCTGTGAATTGAGAAAAATGAGCAGTAAATATGTGCAGTGTATAAGGCGCAGTGAGCAAAGCTAGTTCTGATGACTTGTCGTCAACAATCAGCAGGTGGCTGGACTGTGTGAGAGGGAGAGAGAGAGCGCACCGCAGGGAATGAAGGTGTTGGGCGGCAGGTGCACAGAGCCCTTGGTGCGCGGATTACACGTGCTGTCAAAGTAAAACACAACCTGGGAGGAAGGGGGGTGTTCGGTGGGGAGGGACGGGGAAAGAAGGGGGAGTCATAAGGAAGACAAGGGGAAGACAGGAGGAAGACAGGAGGACTGGGGGTTGAGACAGGAGGGAGAAGGAAATATAGGAGACACGAGATGCTGAGGCGAGGAGCTTCACAGCGAGAGAATACCATCTGGGTTCAGAAAACAGGGCCGAAAGAGAGTAGAGGAAGGTGCTGCAAAGACGCAACCTGCACACTCACCAAAGGCACGGGCGTAGTACCTCTATAGCGGGGACGAGGGTGTCATTGCCTGTTGCAGCATTAGCACCAGTGGCACCAGCAGCAGCGGCAAGGGCGGAAGAGGGGGAGACGTTGGCCCGGTAGCAGGGCGAGTAGGCAGCGCGAATGTGCTCCTCCTTGCATGCCACGCTCTTGAGCTCTGCCCACCACCGCCGACGCAGGTACATGCATAAGAGAGAAACGTAAGGACCAGGACAGGGTTAGAACTCAGATCAGAGGGTCGAGCAACAAGCGCGAGAGTAAGTGTGGGAAATGGCAATGCCAGAGTGAACCAGGAAAGTTAACAAGAAGTCCTAAGCCAAAACAAAGGAAAAAGACATACAAGAGCTCCTCTACAAGAACCGATGTAATTTCAGAACACACGAAATACATCACTGTGATTGTAAGAGCTTCATACACACTCATGGCAGGGGCATGCCCGCACTTAGGACGTGCGTGCTTAGCAGCCACAGTCCTCTTCTGATTTCTCATTGCACTCCCAACCCCACAAAGCCCTCCCAGTCCAAAGCACATACCCATGCCCAAACACATGCGCGCTGCCATGCCCTAACGCAACCCTGATAGCTGAAGCTGTATACTCTGTTCTGAAGGCTGCACTAACGCAGACCATCAGTGTGCTTACGTGGTGCGAGGGAAATGCAAAGTGGGAACCTTACCGCAGTAAATGTCGTTGACCATTGTTCGGCTCACACCGTCTCCGCCAGTGCAGTCTGACACGCAGCAGCAGGAGTAACGACAATCGCAGTAGCAGCAGCAGCAACAGCAGGCAGAGGGGAGAGCATATGAGACAGAGGTGCGTGAATGGGTGAATGACACATGATTTGTTTGAACGAAGTGTGTAGTGGGCTCTGGATGACACGGCTGCTTGATGCGCCATGGCCAACGCAAAATATTAAGTGGCGTGGAGGTGGATAGATAATCAGTGGGAAAGAACACGATTGAGTGGAAAGCTTTGGAGTTTAGGTAGCCTGCTTACTCTCTGTAGTGAATGCCTCCATGCACTTGTTGCTGCCTTCCTGTATGGCATAGACAGACGTGTAGTCCTCTGGGCTGCATGCTGCGCGCAAGCGAAAACACGAGCAAGAAACGAGGGAATGCAGGATGCACACAGGGGGCTGCATCAGAAGCAGCTCAGGACAAGAAGTGATCGATGCGCCATGGGAAGCGGTGAGCAGAGAGATGCGGGTTGCAGAGATTTACGGAACGCATTCAAATGCTAGGTGCACGTACAGCAGGGCTCGTCGTGCACGCCTTGCACGGGGAACGGGTCGACGCACTCGCGCATCTTCTGGTACGACACCTCCCTCGTGCTCCCCGAACCTGGCGCACACACACACACCAGGGACGGCACGGCACCACACACACGGCGTTGGCACGAGAGTCGCTGATCGACACAACGGGATTGAAATCTGGAATTAAAGAGGAATCGTATTCATCAGAACAAGGCGTGAGCCGTAGAAGCTCATCGTCACTATGAGTGTGGATCTTTCAATCCAGTGATGACGCATGAACTGTCAAGGAACATTCAGCGCGGATCATCTCGTCCATGTGCGGATCATCTCGCTAAGGGACGGCTCAGATTGCGCCGAGCTAAAGAATGTGAGACGCAGGCACGCACCCCACACATGGCCACAGAGTAGTGACGCTGACGCTCTCGGTATTGCTGTTATAAGGCTTCGCAAATATGCAACTGGCATTGCGATTATGAGACTCGCGAACATCCAACTCGCAACTATGGGTCTTACGACTAGGAGTTAGATGCAGAGTTACATACATGGAGTTGATACGCGAAGGTAATCTGTAGGATAACACCAATCCACGTCCTCAGCACCACCCATCGCCGTGCAGCAGAGAACGCAAAGCGCGAGAGAAGCTAGCAACCGCGTCAGTTGCCGAATGTGGTTAAACTGCGACATCGAAATTTCTAACAGGGACGCCATTGGAGAGGAGAAAGGAGAGAGCAATCTCAACTTCCAAGTGGATAGTCCACTGAACTCACTAAGCCGGCAAGTAATAAGCTGTATGTGGTTAATGCATTGGTAGCACACGCGATCTAGCGACTTAGAACGACGAATGGACAACCATCAGGTATCTGCGAACAACGGTAATGGCGCAGCTGTCGAGAATCACAAGGCCGAGTGTAGCGGCATCGAGGCCTAAGGATCGCCAGTCATCGTATCGTAACGTAACTGGATAATGCTGCTGCTCCGGAATTACAGGGCAGAGCAATTCAGCCTGTCACGGACGGCCTCCACTGGGCATGAAAGGGTGAGATGAACTGGATCTTAGGGGCTGGAGCAGGTAAAGAAAGACCCAACCCAATCTCGAGACCAATTTCGTGGTTCTGAATTCTTCTGGGGAGCGACAGAATCCATAAATGCGCTGTACACATAGTTTTTCCTGCTGGTAATGCCATCCAAACATCCCCTACCAATTATTCACTTCAATAACGTTCGCATGCAGGCAAAACACACAATAACAAATATGTACACAAGCTCCCCACATCACAGCATTATATTCCACATTTCCACATTATCTACATTTCCACTTCCAACGCCAATAAAGGGGAACTCCTGGCCAACTAGTACGTTATTTCCAATGTGAGCAATTCTCATCAAGCCTGCAAACACCACCACAAACTTTCACCCATCATATTTACATCCAGCCTCCTCCAACCCCTCCAGACTAATTCCTGCTTAGTAAAGCTGCTGACGCCTCCAAATGCAGAGCAGATAGCACACTGGATATCAGAGCAGAGAAACTCTGGCAACTCATGACTCGTGAGGCGAATTCTGGAAATTGATTCAATGAATATAATGGCGACCTGTAACTCCCCTGGCTTGTTAGAAGATGCCAAAGAAGAGCTCTTCGAGTCTGTGCCAGACACCTCTTTAAGAATGAATGTCTTTTTCTGTCATGACCTTCACATCTGGCACCAGATGCGTCGTAATGTCATGGACGTCCACGAAGAGCCCGCTGCCAGGACCGTGATCACACTGCTGCTTCTCCGCTGCCTTGTTCTGGCTTCCAACGCTGCGATCTTCGAAAAGTTTCTGCTGTCCCAAACGCTCTTCTACTTCCGAAACGGATGGACCTTTCTGCTTCTCATCGGACGAGAGGAGGGGACGACGCTCCTGTGACGACGCCATTTTCCTGATGAGCTACGAGCGAGTACATCTTTTCAGTGAGTCGTCAGCGCTGCTTTGTAGCTCGTGAATGCCACGGAAGAAGCAAGAAAATGGACTTCGCGAAACTTGGCAACAGCGTCCACAAGATAAGAAGAGAATGCTGTTGCCATTTTCTGCTCTCTCAAGACAAGCGCGAGCCGCCATGGAGAGGCAACTACCGAAATGGTGCCAAGTGGCGGGTGACAATTGAAGGGACATGGTAGAAAATTCCAGGAAGATTTATCTGTAGAAGAGTTCTCGTGTAACATTAATGGTTTGAATGACACCAACTGTTCTAAAAAAGCCTCTGCAAAAGGTTAACATGGTCACTACGCTTACAACTAACCTACCTAGAGGTTGTAATATTTCAAAGCAGATATATATTTCATAATTAGATGTTACAACAATTTACTAACACTGATAGTTTTGTACCGTACGGTATCTACAGGGCAGCGGGCCAATAAGGGTACATTATTGTGTGGACACAAATGTCTCAATCCCCCTTTTCCTAAGTCGCGTCGAAACATTTTGTCAACCTCGCGTTACAAAAAATGAATGTATCGCGACACAAGAAGACCAGGCGAAATGTACAGTTGTGTGCTTTTGACTGGATTTCGGAAATGATTGTACACCTATTTCTTCAAACGCATGGCTGGGGTGTGGTGTAGACGCGCGGGATTTGTTTCCCGCGCGAAATTGGCATTTGGGGGTATTCAGGTGCATTGACATTTCCAACCGCGAGAGACTTTTTTCCAGTGACGAGTCAATTTGCAACTCGTTCGCGACATCAGCGCGTTTCACGCTGACCAATGGAACATAAAGTAATGGTCGCTAAAAGGCGATTTTGCTAAAAGTCCCACTCGGGATTGTAACATGGTATTAGAGCAACTCAGGGATTCTTCGCAACGTCACTTCCGTGAAATTCGCCCAGCCTAGATCTGGCGAGCGGCACACGCTCCAAGACCAAGATGGCCGGAGGATCCGGAGGCCAAGCAAATATGACGGCTGAATGACAAACCAACCCGGCTGCGACAAATGAGGCGACAACTACGATCGGCACTGCCGCACTCAAGCAGATTTTCGCTCGACTTTCTACTATGGAGAAAGAACTCCAAGATTTGCGCAAAGGCGACACGGGAACCTTTTCCCAACCAGCTCAACCTGGACAACCGGCTACGGAAAGCCGTGATACCGCCGCGCACGCATTTGTCAAACTATATGTGCTGCATATTGTCTAGGCTGTAGTGGGGTAGCCCATATGGGGTACAACCCAATTAGGGTTTACTACTTGTACTCCTGCCTGCCTGCCTGCCTGCCTGCCTGCCTGTCGGCCTGCCTGTCTGCCTGCCTGCCTGCCTGCCTGCCGGCCTGCCTGTCTGCCTGCCTGTCTGCCTGCCGGTACTGGAGCTGCTGGAGCTGCCGGTACTGGTGCAGCTGTGCCGACACGACTGTTCCTTCTCCCTCGACACAGACAAATCAACAGCAACTGCCCCCCGTCCAAGTGATGAAGTCATCAATTCTGCGCAATCACGTTTTCTCAGCGTTTCAAAAATCAAGACTACCGCCGCATTTTAATGCAAGGATTTTTATACATGGAGTTTTGAGCTTGAGCTCCTCCTACAGACAGCGCAGATCTACCATTACTTCGACGGCTCCTACTCTAAACTGGTCGAAAACACCGAGGAAGCCAGGGCTCAGTCTTACAGCGAGTCCCTCATGGCATACAGTGTGCTGCTACACAACATGACGCCTGCAGAGCAACTAAGCATCCGCTCCTACAAGAGCGCCGCTCCAGCCTTGGAAGCCTGGAAGCACCTCATTGAGGTATATCGGCCGAAGGACTCGGTTACCGCCAGCAGGCTCCTGCAGCAACTCATGGAGACAAAGATGGGGAACGGGGAGAAAGCGAACTCTTATATTAACCGTTGTCGCAATATCTGTGACCAAATCACGAAACATGGGAGCGCAATCTCGGAAGAGATCTTCGTCAACATAGTCCTTCAAGGACTCGGGCCTGAGTGGAAGCCCTGCAAAGCGCTACTCCGACAGCGAGGAATCGTCTCAGAAGCCGCGCTATGCGTCGCACTCCTGACTGAACAGCAGGACATGGATTCGAGCAGAACAAGCTCCGCGCCGCGCCGAGAGCGCCTCGCCTTCTACGCAGACAACCGCGAAGAACGACGTCAACCAAGGCGCCACTATTGCAAAATATGCAAAGTCTTCGGACACTCAACGGATCGATGCAAATCCCGATCCAACTATCGCCACCCGAATTCCACTCACCATAACAACTGGGTCGGCCGACAAGACGCTCGTCATTCTCAGCCTCAACATCAATCAGCTCGTCCCCCTGCACAACATCAGCATCAGCAGACTCAAGGACCTCAACCAGGAGCTCCCAGAAACATTATCGCGAACATGGCGACGCGCCGCCGCCGCACTGCTGAACTGGACGAAGAGGACGAAGATCAAGGAAGACTTCTTGAACCAGAAGAGGGTTGGAATAACCCTCTCACTGAAGATCATTATTACCTGTACGACAAAGACAAGCAAGATTGACATCAGCCAATAACACTTCGGGAAAGTCCGCCATATAACTATCACAGTTACGTACCCGTGGGATGGAAGGAGGACGAGGACCCATCCTTTTACAACCGATTCAAAGCAACCACGGTAACGCCGCGACTTGCGCTGCTCCTGCGCAATGGCAAATCCAAGAATCACAACACATGGTATCTCGACAGCTGCTGCGGACAGCACATGGTGGGATCCGTTCGATTTCTCTCGAACCTCAGCCGCGCCCCTGCCACCTTCGTCACCGTCGCCAACAACGAGCATCTTCGCGCCAACGCACAAGGCATCGTGGTCCTGCAAGCACGAGACAGCAACACCCACATCTCGTTCAACGACGTGCTCTACGTCCCGGACCTTCGCTTTAATCTGCTATCGGCAGGATAGCTCCGCGACTGTGGAGTCGTACTGACAACAGATCTGGCCACACGCGATCTCATCCTCACTTACGGCCCAACGGACACTCCCCCTGAGGCGCACAAGTATCTAGGGCGAGCTCGGTCAATCAACGGCATCTACGTTATGGAATTCGACATCCCGAGCTGTCAAGCTTCATCAGACGAGCTAGTGGACCTTATTCCCCTTGACTTCCCATTCATGAACGAAGAATCATGGACGCACCCAGACAGACGACCGTGGATTCGCCGCAGCCCTCACCCTCGTGAGATTAATCTGCACGAGCCTAATATTAACGGCCTCTGCACCACCTGCCACACGCCCACGGCGAGCCGCACGGAGCAAGTCGAAAGAGCCTACGCGGCGATCCAGGAAGCAGAAAGCGCTGAGATGGAACTTACGGGCATGAGTGAAGAAGAACTTGCTGTGTCCTCTTACCGCATCTTCGGTGAACCAAACGACGACTTCGGGCATCAGCAAGTGGAGCGACAAATGCCATACTCGGAGACACTCCGCTTCATCTGTCAAACATTATATATGTTGTGTTTGTTTAGGCTACAGTGGGTTAGCCTATAGGGGGTACACAATTCTAGGGTTAGGTACTTGTACTGATTTCACTGCTAGTTCAATCATTCCTGTCTGTTGATTCCGACATGGTTTCAGAGCAGGTCCTTCGCTAGGACCGTTCTTAGGGCCCACCGCTACCTACCTACCTACCTACCTACCTACCTACCTACCGTGCGCCCTCGTGCGCCTACGCGCCCCAGTGCGCCTCCTACCTACCGCGCGCGCGCAGCCCGCCAGCC